GATTTTAAGTTAACCCAATTAGGGTTATTTCTAGGGTAACCAGCATGTTTTTAGAGTGGTAGACCTTAAAATATTGGTCGGTCACACACATTGTCCGACCCATTCGTGAAATTGTCCGACGTAGAGAGGAAATCGCCAGACATTCTAGCTGTCCGACCTAAGTGAAACTGACCTTATTCTTTGACCACCCGAGTGTATTGGTGTGCAACTGTAGCTTTGTCTGACGTGAATTAAATGGAGACTGTCAGAGTAATGTATAAAAAGTGAACCGGAAATGATGTTTTAATGTAATCAGCCTTAAGTTGTCGAAGTCTTACTGCTGCTATTTGCAAACAAGTTAATTTTGGCTTCGAAATAAATATGAATGACGCAAATTGTTTAATATCTTTACAACATTTACCGTTTAGTATTAATACATTGTTCTGATGGTATTCGTGTCATCCAGACTTATTTCCGAGCCAAACTGAACTGAAGGTGATCGGACATCATCATACACATGTCCCACCCAAGCTCAAAGTCATCGGACATTTTGTTAGACGGTCCTGTAAAATATATTTTAAGGCCTGCATAGAGGCCACTTACAACACACCTAGCCCCGCCGTGTCACATCACCACAGTCTGCAAGTGACACTTCAAACCCTGTTACAATTATTATTTTAATGTTTAATATGTAGTGGGAGTGTAAGACAGATATGGAAAACAAATACAGATTTGGCAAGATTGATGTGAACTGTGAAGGATATGATTATCCTACTGATCTCTATATACTCCGAGGATCTTGTGGGGTATGTATATCCCTTAGTGGTTGTTTTCAGGGATGGGTCCAGCTTGATCTGGTGGGGAGGGTGTGTGGATCGAGCCATTGGCATGGTTTGGGTCCGATCTTTGAGTAGCAGTGTTTTATTTATTTATTTGTTCAACTTCGCCATATAAAATTACACGAATGACATGGATACAATACAAATACAATATTTTGCCAGTGGCAAATGGCGTGACTTTCATAAAAAGTCTCATAACAATTTCTTAAATGTACTTAAACATATATTAGAATGTTTTGCGGAACCGGAAAAATTATGTTCCGGCCTGCTTACTTTCACAATCATAACTTTCCTTCTACTACACCAATTCTGATAACAGAGTTGCAAAAAGTGTTCAACATTTGTCCGGGTAAAATTTCAAGTTTTCAAACCTTCCTCAAAATAATATGAATTACGGCTTTTTCAAATTGCCAGACCAGCATTAAGTCAATATATTTGGCCTCATAACTATTTGCCAGATGTAATTTGATCACCGTGTTTTCAAAGAAATGATTTGCTTCCTATAGATCTAGAGTAGGATCCAAGAATGGCTGGAATTATTTCCAGGTCTATTGTAAGATACACAACTAAATGATGTCTCCATCCTCATAATTATAATAATTCTTTAACAACGAATTAGTTCTATAGTTCTTCTGTTCTTGTAATAATTCTGACTGTATTAATGAATGTATATATTTTAGTTGGAGTATACAATTGAATTGACAGACGAAGGGCGTGCAAAACAGGGATCGTCGGATTATCATGGTCGGAACAACTATCAGTATGGATCTCGAAACAGGTAGGTTATATCTTACAGTAGTGACTGGTATCAGATAAAACTATTTTGGGTGGAGAAATTTTTCAAAAACGATTTTTAAAATTGCTGTAACCTAAACTGGATTACCGCAGACTTATTTTTGCGGTAATCTAATATGGATTTTCCAATTAAGAAATCTCGTCACCCTACAAGCAATAAATGTATATGCTTTTCGTCGGTCTGGCTCTGGACCTGCGTAATCGGTTTCCCACTAGTATAAGACTCCATGCGGAGCTGAATCTGCTCAGACAAAGAAAGAGATCCGGAGAATCGCGCTCCGTGTTTGATAAGCAAGCGCGTCAAAGTTATTTTCTTTGATATGAGTGTATTTGCTTAGTACTCTTGTATACTGGCGATGATACCAAATTTGACCGAAAAGTATATTTGTTGGAATATATTCTAGTTTGGGTGATTAAATTTTTTTCTTGTAGTCCAGTTGGTATATTTGACGCCTATAGTACTTGCTTACTTTACGATTTACGTGACTGTACATCATCAATAAACTCTGAATTTTCTGACAAGCTTTTGTCTTGGAAAATCCAGGTTACCGCGAGCATAATTTTGCGGTAACCGAATTTTCCGTTACATGCAATTATGGACAACCAATTTAATGTCGTCTAACAGTTTTCTATCCAGTTTCATAACATGTTTGTGTATGATCTATATAACGACTGCGCGATTAGAACTTGGGAAAATTATGTCAGATGACGACACACGAAAATCCCGCGGGATCTTCACTCTGTTTACAATGGCAAATCACAGATCGTAACGCCTTGTATGCAATCATTGCATTTAAAACTGCGACAACTCCTACTTGGTCCCAGAAATCTACTCAAATATTTATCCCTTTCTTATCCTCCATCCTTAAACTGTATTAGTTTGATACGATGGATAATAGACGACAAGTTTTCTTTATACAATCCGTCAGTTCAACGAGTTTGTTTGCCGGCATCGTAGGCTTGACGTCCTACAAGCAGATCGCTAGTTCTTGAGGGCTGAATTGTGAAACTTCCAGGGCCTTCGCCCATGGACACCCCACGTTCCACTCTGGGGGGACAGCCGTCCCAGACCTCAAGCTGATTAATAGGTAACTCAATTTTCTCTGCAAAAAAACGGACCCAGCAAAAAATTGCTTTACTTGTCCAACTATACCAGGTTCGACCAGTTGATCAGGGCACCCAACCTCCACCCCCTGCGATGAAAGAATTTTCAGATTGCCCCATGTGAAATCTCGGAGTAGAAACAGCTAACGACATGCTTGTTATGTTTTCAGGTATAACAATTCCAGTGCTTTACGTGAAGTGGTGATGTTTGTTATTGTTGCTGTTATTTTCTATATGGTATTTAAGACATGTACATCCAACCGACATATATATCCTCTTTGTGTATGTAATGAACTTGGTCGTGATATCAAGAATTATCATGAGGCTCAGGTTGTGTCATTCGCCGAAGGCGTTGTTACACAAACAGATACCTTGATAATTTAGATATCACGCGATTTCATTTCAATAATTATTTTATTACGCTTTAAGTTACCGTGGGGAATCTTGTCATGATCTTTTCTTCATGTAACATACTGGCTTTTGCTGTCGTGACGATTATTCTCTGGAGAAATGACGTCATATTTACATGAAGAAAACTAACGAAACGTCGAAGTTCTCCTTGTATTTTCAGGTAGTTGTATCCCTATCAATCCCAAGCTTTCACGTTATTGCCACTATACGTACCTACAATGGGATGACTGTTAAAAGTCAAGTATATATATTCATGATAAATTATGAATTGCATTAAGTTCTATGCTCAGCGCGGAAAATCTAGAAAATGTTTATTATTAAATTCTAATCTAACACCTTTAAATTAAATTTCTCATCAAATTTTTTATCCAAATTCAACTGAAATTTACATATCGATTTGTCGTGGTTCATGCAATATTCTATTCCATGTTAATCGACTTTGTTCTATTCCATTCTGTTTATATTCTATTCCCTTTTCATGCTATGATATGATATGATATATGATGATATGATATGATGATGTGGCCTTTATGTATTACCATTGTATAACAATTTCACTGTTCAATTCTGCTCTATTTTCCGTATTATAATTTTCAATATTATATGATACTATTCTGTTCGCTATATTCAATTTTTATTTTGTTCATTGTCATTCCATTCCATTGGATTCTATTATCTTGTACTGTGTATTTCCTTAACAACTTCCTACAGATACAGATACCGTACCTCCCGTGTACTCTCAAGATCCGAATATGATGGGAAGACCAGGTGAGCTTTTGATGTGAAGTCTTTACGGGTTGCATGTACAACTAGTTTCATACTATAGTATATTCGGGTTCTAGATTGGGCCATCGAGTCAACGGGGATTGCTAGTGAGTCTTGTCCAATTTAAGTACACGAAATATTTTCGCAATGACTTAAGGCGGATTTCCATTCAGTGCAAAATGTCGCGCGATCGACTTTTTGCGAGCGCTTTTTGCGATCGACTATTTAGTTTAATTTCCATTCTTGTATAAAAACATATAAGCGCGCGCGAATTTCGGTAGTAAAAAAATTGCTGAAAAGTTTTTGGATCAGAAAGACTTTTCAGGAGAGACAGGAAAAGAGCGAATACTACATACTTGTTCGAGAACTTGCGATTGTTGATCAAGAGTACTTTATTAAACCAGACCGGGGTTTTTCTTAATATTAGACCAGGCGTTTTTCTTTTTCGTCTGATCTTTATACGTTCTGTATGAAGTGTTCCATAAACATGGTTCTTCTTGTACTTGGCCAATAAATATCTCAACATTATACTCGATAATCTGGATTGGATTGTCATTTCTAACTTGAGGTTATGTATCATTTTTAATCTGAAGGTCTTGATTTTGATTAAAGCCATTATGGATGTCAACTGGCTCGATATTTCCAAACACATTTTGTTCACCCCAGAGTTCACTCATAGCACTGTCAGCCATCTTTGGTTGATCCAAATTCTTAAAGTGCGATCGCAAAAGTACGGAAAGCGATTCTACTTTTTTTTGCGATCGGTCGATTTGAAAATTGCGCATGCGTAATTGAAAAAACGCTCGCAAAAAGTCGATCGCGCGACATTTTGCACTGAATGGAAATCCGCCTTTAACGCTTGGGGGGAGGGGGGGGGGGCTCTGCAACTATCTCTCACTTTTGCTGTGCCCGCGATCAGGGTCGTATGGTGGCAGCCAGACGTGCCTTATGAAGCCTTCCATTCGGTCATTAACATCCCCTCCTCTGCCTTTAAAGTGGCCGATGGAGTGGAGTGTTCTTAATATGTCCCTAATTTGGAATGACTGCATTTACCTATCACACGCAAAAGAGATGGTTGATCCTGAGTATTTCACGTATAATAGGTGCAGAGCATGAATGCACCGCCAAAGCTGCGACAAAAGGAATAGCGAGAGCGCAGCTCGACTATTTTACATCTGATAAAGCACGAACTGAAAGTGTTTTAAATGGCTTAAAAAACGACCCATCTTATGAGTTCATTGGCGAAGTATTTTAAAAATAAACATTGCCTATAAGTCAAGAAAATCAAAGCTAAAGTTTTAAATTTGTAAATAAACATGATTTTTTATCACGTATAATACCACCGACAAGGTAGTGATTGATTTCTTTTGTCTTTTCCTCAATATGTTGTGAAATGCCATTTATTTTTTTACTGTATTAGTATTCGCTGCCCATAAGGAGAATCTCACGCTTCATTGGCATGCACTAGCTTAAAATCCCAATCTCGTTCCCCGAGCCTGCGATCCTCGGGAAGGAACGTGAGGCTCTGGGATAATCCGTTGGCGGAAGCCAGGAATCCTGGCTAAGACCGAACTGCGCATTCCATATCAACGGCCAATCAGATTCCTCCCTGAAACGGATTATCCCAGAACCTCACGTTCTTTCCCGAGGATCGTAGGCTCGGGGAACGAGATTGCTTAAAATCCCTGCTTCTGAATTAGTATTCATAACTTTCATAAACATTCCTCTGACATGACTTACTGATCTTTATTATATAAAGTCGAAATAAATATGGTATTTTCAAGCACCCATGCATTATTGTCTATTTAATGCGCTTTACAAGTGTGCACATGCATGTGGCCTAAATACCGCGTCGTGATTTGTTTGTAGCCTTATTAATTATTCATACCTTTTACAAGAGTAAATAAAAATTTCAGGGCTGCTGCTATAGAGATAAGCCATTAAATGAGATTATAGTCACACGAACGTATAAGACAAAACCACTTGAGGATTAGACAAAACAAGCGCTTGTTGATTTTGCTTCTATAAAGGGTTTTTGCTTTTACATCTTTCCAAAATATTATATTCTGTTCATGTTTTTATCTTCGCTGTTTCGGTATTATTTTTTTCAAATATTTGTTTTTTGACCAGTTAAAATATTAAAGTTTTATTTGCTAACCTTTTAACCAATTGCTGCGAGTTTTCTCATTGTACTTTTATTCGTGTTCTGTATATAAAAAGCAAATAACTGTTTTCTCGTTCAGAGATTCCGATAATTTTTGAGCCGCCAGTCTTTAAAGTTATTTTTAATGAATAAAATTACTAAAAGCGTGTAAATAAATACAAATTGTTTTAAAACGATTTGGTCATTTTTGTTTTGTTATGGTCGTTTCTATTTTCCTATGATATATGCTATATTCACCTCCACCGATGAACAATTGTTAAATATCCTGCTAGGAGAGATCTAATCTAAGCTTGAATCCGGTAGTTTCAACAAGGTTAGTATCCGAGACCGGTATGTCATAAGTATTCCTTTATTTTCATACCAGGTCCAAGTGCACCGCCACCTCCCTATAGCCCTGAACCTCCTGGCTTCAAGCGAGAATATACACAAGGTACAATATGTACATTTGTAGAAGCATATCATGTCTTACAGATTATTCTACAGATTCTCATTATAAATGAGTGCTCATTGTGGAGTTGTGTGCCAATCTCGTTCCCCGTGCATGCCCGTTCGCAGGTTAAGGGTGGGCATAGCTCTGCAGAAATCGAATTGATTCAGGCCTGTGATTGGCTATTGCAGCAAAATATAAACAAAACATTTGGAATTTCTCGTCGAAAATTTGATACTTTTTACACTGAAATAGATTGAAAACAACTAGAAATTCTGGAGGACATATGTACGAAAGCTTCGGATTGATAGTGATATAACTACCTGAAAAATACAAGGAGAACTTCGACGTTTCAAGCGAAGGCGCTTCGACTTGTGCTGTTAGTGTTTGTATACATCGTACTTGACCTTTTATATACTGTCATACCTAACACTACGTATACCATAAATTCTGACAGGAGAGTTAAATGTAAATTTTAAAGCATAAAAATATATAATA